AGTTGGGCTCGTGCCTTTCCCCCTCACCTGAGACCAAATCATCCCTGGGGCTGGGGCACTGCTACCTCCAGCAGCCTCAGGCTCCCTGGAGATCCCACCCACCGGGGCACCCTCTGTGCTGCACCCAGGCAGTGCCCGTAGGCAGCTGGAAACAGAGGGCTTCTTCATGGAAACTGCCCCCAGTGGGTGTCCCCATGGCCTGGGGGTCAGTGCCTGCTTGAGCACCTGGCACACTGACTCTCCTCTGTTACTCCGGTGTTCTCTCAAATGTGGCTGGTGGCAGCTGCTGCCACGATACTGCCTGGGCTTAGAGGAGTGCCCTCCCCGGTGTGGTTTTAATGTAAATAAATCATTGGTTGCCTTGGTGATAAGCACACTACAAATCATCCTCGGTAATACATCATGGGAACAGAGCAGGGGTGGAAGTGAAGGTGGCTCCTGTGGGCATGTGGCCACGAGCTCTCCCTTAGGAGCTGGTTCTGTTTGGGAGGAGCTGTTCAAACGGCTCCAGCTTCCATCCTGCCAGATGCTGAAGCACAGATGCACTGTCAACCCCCAGGCTAAAGGGACTTAGGCACCTAAAAGCTATTCTGCTCAAGTCCCTGCATATCCACCAATGCCTCTTCTTTGTAACACGCCGGTGAGTTCCTGCCCTGCCTGTTCTTACTAGCAGTTAGCAGGTGTGTGCGTCTGTCCCCACCTGCGCCATTACACAAATTGCCAATTGCTCAAATCACGAGCGAGACCTTATGAGGGAGGATAAGGAAAGATGCCACGTTGATTGATTAAGCGCTTTATACACACATACCCACACACCACGTTCATACCCCAATTTCTGTTCTGCGCTGGTATGCATTATCAGTCTTATTGGTGCTCAGATCAACTCAGCGGTCATCAAAGTTGATCACAAGTGGGAGCCAGGTGCCTGCTGGTCCATCTTGTCAGACGAACCGATGCTCCAGGATGACACGCAGAACAAGACTCAAAATTAATACATCTCACCCCATCTTTTATAGCTTTGTCAATTCACCCAGTCCCCTGGGCTTTTGCTGGGTTATCGCTGTGTTCTTTCTTGAAGGTCAGTTGTCGTTGTTCTCTCGCTGTTCTGGGATGGATTCTTCTTGTTCGGTCTTTTGTCTGTCTGCGTTCTTCAGCCAGTCACCAGCTGATGTTTTCCTTTCCCACAAACACACTCTCACCCATACAGCATACAAAAGAGTAAAAGGTCAAGCACCTACCTCCCACTACAGAGCAATACAAAATGGAGTTTCTGAAGGCAATGCAAAACTCAAGAAAGTACACAAGATTAAAAGCAATAAGCAAAAGTCTATTTCCATGTTATTTACCTAACATCAAGCAGGTATTTATGCTATTTGCATAACAGCCCCGCCTCAGTTTTCCTTCCTGGCTACTCTGTCAGCAATTTTAATGCCAGAAGTATCTCCCCTGAGGGGTAGGTACAGCACCTGGGGCAAGAAAGCTTTGTCTTCTGAGTGGCTTTTGATGTGGCTTTGAAATGAACCCAGAGAGGGCTGGAGGGGAGGGCCCTGTGTATTCCCACCTGCGCAATTACCAGTGTGCTGAGCTCCCCTGCCTCTGGCATCCCAAATCCAGCAAAGCAAGTGCTAATTCCCTGGGGTCTTCCAGGAGCACCTGTCCCTCTTGACACACTGACCTTTGCTCTTGCCGATCCAGCTATACGGAAGCTAATCTATTTATCTGGCAGCTTTTGTGTAATCATCTGGACCTGGATTCCCCCAAGGACTTTGCTACCCCAGAGGCCTTGGCTTGATAAAGCCTGGTCTAGTACGAGGCCAAATCCCCCATGGAAGAGGCTGAGGACCCTAAATCCATTCTCCCTTCCAAAACAGAGCTGAGACTCTGGGTCCAATCCTATTCCAGCTCTTGGGTACGATTCTATTCCACCCTGCTCAAGTCCCTAAAAAACCGCGGATGCATCTACTTCTGTACCACGCCTCGAGGCTAAAATCACAAGCAGCAGTGAGAAACACTCACACACCTTCCACATTACCTGGCTTCCAGGGCCATGAATGGGGCAAACTAGGATTATACTCAGGCACTTAATGGTAACTAGAACTAGCCCTAAGTCCTTTTTTCCCTTGAAAATGGGAGGCTTGTTCTAAAGACAGTGCTTACCCCTCTTTCCTACGACTCCTGTCAAGACACTATATCCTACCACTAAGGAGTGAGGAAGGAGGGATGTTCCTTCCTGACCCCACCACTGGTGACCAAAAGATGCCCTGAAGCATGAGGATGGAAAGTTGCTGCCATGGTCACGTTGCTACTTATCATGGCAATTGCTGTTCCTGTTCCTTTTTTTCCTGGTTGCCACCAGCATTTTCCAAGCAAAACCAAAAGAGAAAGATGCCACCATAGCAATACAGGTAACCCAGCGAACCAGGCTCTGGACCATTCCTCTATGCAAAGATGTTCTTCACCCTTAATACTTTGAAGTATATTTCTCTTCCTTGATTCAAGCAAGAAAATGGTGCAATAATTCCAGCTGTGCCCAAGTAAAGGCTTAGTCCTGCCAAATGCTGAGTACTTTCATCTCCCATTCGGATGGGTGGGAGTTGAGGCCATGCAGCGCTATACAGCAGTCCAGTCTTACGGCCCAGTAATTGGGTGAAAGTGTTTGTCTCTGCAGGATCGGGCCCTTGGCAGGGGAAAGGAAACAACACATCAGCACCTCCTGCTGTCCAAAGTAGGGTGATCCAAGTTTGAGAGGCAGCTGGCCCAGCCAGCTCACCTCCTGACGGCTGTGGAAAGACACTTGTGGAAATATTTTCTCAGAGCCCCTGGCTAGAATTGAATCTGCGAGATCATTTTGCTCTCATTACTGGAAGCACTTGAAACCCAACACCGGCGTGTTCCTGAAGTATTCATGAAGTGCCTGGGACAACAAGCACGGCCAGCACCCAGGGACGCCACGGACCTGCTGCCCTGCTCCTAGCACCCAGGGTTAACAGCAGCTTTGTGCCCCAGAGCAGAGGATGGGACCTGCCAGGAGACCCTTCAAGGTAGGAAAAGAACATGCAGGGTCACTGAAAGCCCAACAGGTAGGCAGGCGGAGGGAAGCCCAGCTTACATTACACTGGTATAATCTCAGTGTACTCAGTGACTTGCTGTGGGTTCTGCTTCTTCACGTGCTGTCTTGTGTCTAGAAGTAGACCTGTTTGATACATAACATATGTGATGTAATGTGTAAGTTGTATGCATCTACATGCACGTATACAAGTGTGTGCACATATGTACACACACACACACATATATGTAAACAAACAAATATTAATAAATAAATAAAAGACATACACATATGTACTGTGTGTCAAATGGGCCGAATTCTAAACATACAGGAAATTGCATAGGAAAAAATAGATTGATATAGCTAAATGCTTGTATGTATATACACATACAGCTCACTGTCTTGCCAGTGACACCTCAGACTGTGAAGACATTTTAAAATTCTATTTACTTTTTAATGTTATTTATTGTAGTTCTTTATATTTTATTTCAGCTTAAGTAGTTTCACTTTCTCTCTCTAATCAAGTTTCATTTTCTGGTTTCCCACATAGCCAGAAACAGTCACAGTTACGTTTCCAGTACCATAAGGCAGTGTCTCTCAACCTTTTTATAGTCAAGGCAGCCCTCAATAGACTTGAGATCCCCCTTGGAAAAGGTCAGCTCTTAGTTTTCACTTGCCTTTTGACTTCAGAAAAATATCAAGGCAGTAAGTTCACAGCAGGGTAGAACATTTGTGACGCTATGGATTCCTCTTTGAAATCTCTGGGTTAATCTCACAAATCACCTTTGCACAGTGACCAGTGCTAACATTGAGAGGCACCCTGCAGTGCCCTTGAAAGGACCTCAAGATACACTAGGGTGTCACAGTACCGTGGCTGAGAATCACTGCTGTAGGGGAATTATTAGCAAACAAGCTGATGCTTTTGTGTTTAGAAGAGAATTTCAAAAATAAGGAAAGAAGTAAGGCTAAAAGAAGAGCCATTTTCCACTCATTCGCACAGAATATAGGGGCCCAAAATGCAACCATCACCAAAAGGATGGCAGATCAATAACAAAGTCACAAAGGACACGCTTCTGGGCTCGATACTTGAAGCTTCAAATCAACAGCTTTCATCAACAGTCCAAAGCGCTAAAGCCTGCTCCATGCATCGACACCAGTGATTCTCAACTGTACCCTGGGGTGCCAAGAGATCCTTTTAACGGTGCCACGCAGTATTAGCCCTGGTAGGTGTACAAACACTTACACACAACACACACCCAGAGATTTCAAATAGGAATCCATTAGTGTCACAAATGCTCTGCCCTGCTGTGGGCTCTCTGAGCTCTTTGCACCAGAAGAATTGCTCTAGTATTTTTCTGGTGTCAAAAATGAGTGAGAGCAAAAAGCTGGCATTTCACAAGGTGGGGTGGTAGAGTCTAAAAGGGTAGAGAACCACTGATCTACACCCAACAGCTTTGCCTGCCAGGCCCTGTCAGGAGTGCAAAAAGAAAGATACTGCATTCACCTAGTCAAAGGTCAAGAGAGAATGCAGTCATAGAGCACTCAAAAAAAAAAAAATCCCCTTGGTAGCATGGCTTATTTCCTCCCACAAATGGGTACGAGCTGTATTCTTTTACAGCAATAACCCACAGCTGGACCAGAACAGTTTGCTATACAGGCCTGTCCTTTCCAGTGTAGACTAGGCCTAGATTTTGGTGGTAAATGTTCGATTTGTTTAGTAAAAGGCTCTGTAATTCACTGGGAAAATTTAGCCTGTTATGGGAAGAGAGAGATAGGCAGACTCATGGGTCTGAAGTAGCAGCTACGTAGCAGAAGGCAGAGCAGACATGCACCTTACAGACTAACTGAATCAGAGAGGCATCAGCTTTCATGAGCAAGTGCTCAATCAGCATCTGATGAAGTGAGATTGTGTGCATGAAAGCTGATGTTTCTCTGATTCAGTTAGTCCAGTGGGGCCAACTGAATGGCAGGCCTGCCATAAGGTAAGTCATACACCCTGTCACTTGGATCCTCTTCCCCTGCTTGATCTGCTGCTCTGCTCCTCTACTTTGCCTCCTGTCCACTATTGCCACCTCTAATGATTTTTGGCATTGTTCTTAAAGTCTACGCTTCGGGAATGTAAAAAACCTATCTTTCTTTTATTTATATATATAAAAATATAAATATTAGAGATAAAAAAAAGACCTAAGTTTTTCACATTCCCAAAGCGTAGACTTTAAGAACGATGCCAAAGATCATGAGAGTTGGCAACACTACCTGCCTGTTCTGGAAAGTAGAGTTTTCTTTGGCTACAAACAGACATTGTATTCCTCCAGGGATAAATCATTTTATCCTGGGACAAAGCACAATTGTGCAACAAACACATCTGTTGTCCTGGGATAAATCCTAAAAAGGTCAATGGGATGAGAAACACTAACAGTTTATCCCAAGACATTGCAAAATACGTCTGAACAGATGGCCTGGGATTATATAATTGAATCAATGGCAGAAAAGCAGCAGTACATTTAGCTGCTCGCTAAACCCCAATGGGAAAGGTGATGTGTATACACACCAATCCCAAGACAAACATGGGCAAAACGTTTTCAGGGACAAATGCAGTGCCCATTCCTAGCCTTTATGGACCTCTCGCACTTGTGAGCCTGCAACAGTGCCTCAGATCCTTCACACCACATTTGTGCATTGCCTTGTAATACAGAAATACAAGCTTGTTATCTTGATTCCAGCAGATAATGAAGCTTATTGGCACCTGCACAAACCTAATCCTATCCACATACCCTAGCCAAGCACCTTGAACTGACATCACAGAAAAGGGGTTGTGAGAGATCCTAGGATCATAGGAAAGTTAGTCTGGAAGGGACCTCACAGGGCCACATCTAGTCCAGCCCCCTACTCAAGGCAGGAGCATCCCTGACTAAATGACTCCAGCCAAATGTCTGTCCAACCTGCTCTTGAAAACTTCCAAGGATGGAGACTCCACCACTTCTCTAGGCAGCCTGTTCCAATGCTTCACCATCTTCAGAACCAGAAAGTTCCTCCTCATTTCCGACCTCAATTTCCCCTGCTGCAGCTTGAGGCTGTTGTTCCTAGTTCTGTTCCCTTTTTGTTAAGATCAAAAGTATCCATTAGATCAGGGGTGTCAAATATATGGCCCATGGGCCCCAGCTCATAGCTGGAGGGGCTAAGAAGCTGGGGGCAAGGCAAGCCAAGTGTGGGGGCTGCTACACCTCATCTTGGAGATGTTCAAAATGAGACTGGACAAGCACCTTGCTGAGCTTGTCTGAGCCCAATAATTTCCTGCCCATGGCGGGGGCCCGGACTTGGTGATCTTGCAGGTCCATTCCCGTCCTTTGATTCTATGATTTTATGACCCAGCGCTGCCGACCTGCCGGTTCAGATCCAGCCCTGTGCATGGGGGGGTTTCAAACCCCTGCAATAGATCATCTCTTCTGAACTTTAGCGTTACATCCTGGAACTCCTGCAGAGATAGCAACACCTTTGGCTGCTTAACCTGGTCTTCCAGCAAGGCTCCAGTCTGGATCAGAGCCTTCCTACCCAGCTGTTGGTCTCAGGGGTCAAGCACCTTCACTGTTAAACGACTTGCCTCATCTATAACTGGAACATGCCAGCATTTAATAAACCAATTCCTGATAACATGATACTATCCAATTCAATCCAGTCTAATCTGCTAAGGATTGCCAAAGAAGCCCTAGTTATAATTAAGGATCAAGGAGATCTAGCAGCAACATCCAAAAGAGAACCAAAGTCCATCCCCTGCCTGAGCTTCCCCAGACTCAGCCCTGGATGCATTGCAGCATTGCCAGGCTCACTGCTCACCTCTGGCCCTGGGGCCGCAAGCAGCTGAGTGAAGGAGCAGCCTGAAGGCTGCTCTAATTTACTCCAATTCTCTCCTTGACTAAGGGGCAGGGAAGGGCAGATGGCTAAAGCAGGAGAGGGAGGCATGTGTAGGGCACAGGGCCATAGCCTAGCAGGTTGCAGATTGGTGAGAAGCTCCCCACTCTGCCACTTTTAACTCAAGATGCTGTTCCCATCGCCTATCTCCCATCATCTCAGCTGCCTTACCTGGCCCTGGTAACCCATCAGGGAACTTCACCTATTCCTGAGCACCCATGCCCATACGTAAGTGCTAAAAGACAGGGTAGAGGTGCACCTTATAAGCTAATTCAGTGGTTCTCAACCTTTTTAGACTCAAGGCACCCCTTGACAGGCTTGAAGCCCTGCTCAAAAAACACCAGCTTTGTTTTCACTAATTTTTTAACTAAGGAAAAATACTACAGAGAGGCATAGTGGGTAGGGATTGTCCCTTGCCAAGAGGCTAGGCACATGGCTGGTACAGCAGGCAGGGATCCCCTATCCCCCTGGGAGCTGCTTCTGCAAGGGGCTGAGCTCACTGTCCTGGGAGTGTCAGGACATGCTTCTCACCTGGGGCTAGAGATAATGGGCAATGGAGACAGCAAGCGCTGCCACTTAGCTCTGCCACAGTGCTCCCATTCCCATGATGAACCAGGCTGTGGCAGGGACCTGATGCTTCCCCGGTACAGTTGTGTCCCCACTCAGCAGTGCTAATTTCCATCCCCTACTGTGCCCTGCAGGCAGCAACCAGGCCCCAGGGGCTGCTCCAGGTGTGAGAGTGCCTCCAGGGCCCTATGGAGAGCGCCACCGTGCAGCCGTACATTGACGTAGACAAAGGCTTTGCCATTGGCTTTGTCGTGCTCATGTGCCTCTTCTTAATGGCCATGATGGTGCGGTGCGCCAAGCTGGTGGTGGACCCCTACCGTGCCATCCCAACCTCCACCTGGGAGGAGGAGCAAATCAACTGATCGGCAGCCTACACAGGTGGGTAGCTGGCAGTCAGGCTCCCTGAAGTGAGCTCTTCAGGCTCCTACCATCCCGGTCATCCCTGTTGCTACAGCAGAGGGATGATCCCCTGCTTTCAACTCTGCCTACAGTTGTGCCGGCTTTGAGGACATAGCCTGCAGAGGAGGAGGTCATGATGCCAGCTTTGTGCGACCTTGGGGAGGTGAGCATCCCCTGCCACAGCAGTCTGATAAGGTGGGAGAAGCTGGGGTCTGGGTAGGGTGCAGGGACCTAGTGCCTTCCACTATATTCTGCTGCACCCATCACAATGGGCAGCTCTGCAGGAGGTGACTGGCATCCACCACATGGGAGTCTCTTCTTTCTCTGCACAGGGGGCTCAGGTACTGCCCCACACCCATGACACAGGGCCTACAGGGGCTTGCAACCCAGGGCATCTGGGATGTGGAGTCCAGACTGCTCAAGCCCACAGAAGAGACCCTGCACTAGCAGCAGCAGTAGGCTGTTACCCCGGAGCAGACCAAGCTCTGTAGCAAGGGCAGGATGCACCCCCTGCATGGAACCTACCCTGGGGTCTGGTGTTTGGTCCTCTCCAGTGAATGGTCCCCAGCGACTTCAGGGGAAGTGCCTAAGCTGGCCAGGCAGGAGCTACTCCTGGGGTCCATTCCTGGCTCTGCCACTGACTCAGTCTATCACCCTGGGCAGGTTATTTAACGCTCCCAATGCCTCGACCCCTACACTACCCCTTTAAGAACCCTCCTCCCTGCAATCAGACCGACCGACACCAAACACAGCTGCTGCACCTTTAAGTAACCGGCTTTGGCGCATGCGCGCTGGCGCCGCGAGGGTATTTCCGCCCGAGCGCGCCTGCGTAGTGCTGTCCCCTGCCTTCGCGCCCGCCTCCCGAGGGGAGGTTTTGTCTGCTCGGGCCACCGTCGCCGGAAGTGGTGTCGGGGCCCCTTAGTGCAGCGCTCTGGAAACAAGCCCGGCCACTACCAGCCTCGCTGCGGGGAGCGGTGAGCGTGGCCGGGGGCTGCGACTGGGCTGGCGGGGACCGGGGGGTCCGCTGCAGTGGGCTACGGACGGGGCCGGGGACTGTAGGGCACCCGGAGGAAATAAGAGGCGGGGCGTGGGGCGGGGCCTAAGGGCTG